ATCATTAGTCTTCTTGAGAACTCGAAGCTGTGTAGCTTTGAGCAAAGAATGGCACTTACTGCTTGTCCTCCTTTAGATTAGATTCCAACAAGGGTGTATTCTGCTGTAAGTGAGATATTTGTCAATGACCTGGCCTGACCAAGAAAGAATAAAGGTGTCTATTATTGCACATTGTCCTTAGGATGATTGACAGATTTCATAGGCCCTTTACGCTGATTCACATTTTTGTAAACTGAGTTCAATGAAGATCTAATATATGTTTTAGATTTATTCATGATGGAAAGGGATTGCCAATGTTTTTTTATTTCTTATCCTTAAGATTTTGGGATTTTAGAAATGTATTTCTCTGACATGTTACATCTGAATTCTTTCTTAATAAAGCCAGCTATAGTTGGCACTACATGTATGAACATCTACGGTCTCTAATACAGGAATTTGACTCAATAGGTCCAGAATAGGGATGCATATTCCTTCCCAAAGATCCCAAGAACATTCTGGAAGTGTTATTCTGATGAAAACTCTAAAAGGTGCTTTAGGAACAATAAAATCTCATAGTTCAGTACTTGAGTCTCAGTTGAGGTTTTGGTATGTGGATCAAATATCCATAACTTTGTCAAGAGAAAATTAAGAAAGTTATTCCCACAATAGCACACCATTCATTACTATGTTCATTTGATTACTGATTTCAGGAAACGCATAGACACTATCAGCAGGAAATTTCTGTAATACAGAATGATCCTTACTTGAAAATGTGTTTCACTGACTAAAAGAAGCAAAATTTTAAGATTCACATTTTTGAAGGCTAAGGCTTTCTTTATATAATGAAGTATAATTTGAAATTTTTCTTGCTTGAAGTTTGGGTAAAAAATTGTTGAGAATCATTCTTTCTTCACTACCACTCATGGACATGAAAAGAAATAAATCCATATTAACATAATAGAAATAATTATACCACTGCATTTTTCAGATCATAAATTCTGGCAATATCCAAACTCCCAGCTCCTATTTAGGAGGGGTTACATCTTACTGTAGATAAAGGCATCTTCATGAATCCCCTTGCGTGGTTGCACACCTGTAGTTCCAGCTTACAAAAGATGTTGACAGAATGGTCCTGAGTTCCATAGTGAGATCCTGCTCAAGAAATAAAGTAACCTCCACAAGACAGGGCTTACCATTTCCCATTGTCTTCATGTAATCAATCCTTACAGGACTCTCTCCTTAGGTAGTTCTACATGCATTGTATGGTCATGCTGTCTTCCAGGCCCCAGGAGGCTACATGCTTTCCCAACCTATTTCTTTTGCCTGTCTCCCTCTGCTCCTAAGAGGTATCATTCTTTGAATATCATTTAGTATCTAACAAATAATCTGAATCTCCCCTTGGAAGGCCTATTCTTCCATTTGTTCCCACCTTCTCCTCCTCAACCTAACCATGATTCATTGCTGACCTCCTGGATAGTTTTAGAATGGTTCATATATGTTTATCTCAGTTTCCAAATGGCATTTCACAAATATCCCTTTCTAATAAGAGTAAGTCCACCAATTTTAAAACAGAAATTACTTTGTTAATGCCAATGAAGTGTGTTGATGCTTTTGGCTCCCTTCCAGGGGAATAATTTTGTCATCACTTAATTTGTCTATGACTTCTGCAAGTTAGCACTCTCTTGGCAATCTAACAAAAAGGGTCAAATCATCCTAGTTGTTAAAAATAAAATAAAACATTTTCTATATAAAAATGTCAAAAATCCAAATATTTAAGAAATGTCTACATAAATATCCAAGAAAATAAATGTCTTAGAATATTCCATGTTTGTCTCCCATGTTATTTCTATGGTGGTGTCCATGTTCATATGCAATCCATAAATCTATCTCAATGTGATATTTTTATTTCTAGCATGTTGTCTTTGAAAACAATTGACCTTTACACAATAGCTTTTCCATAGTTGACTATGGTGTTCTAAGTTATTATTCTTGTTTCTTCCTAAATTTTAGCTTCAATTTATTGTTTCTTAGGAGGGTGTTTCTTTTTATGAATGTAGAACATTTTTGAAAAATCATATTTATTTAATGTCTACGTCTTACAAATTAATTGATTAAACTCTATTTCTAGATTTAATACATTTATTTTTTGTTTGGGTGTTTCATTTGATTTGATAATTACCCTTTCCATATATTTAAGAAACTCATATAAATCAAGAAATACAGACTTAATAATCTTTTACTTTACTGGGAAGTAAAAATAACAAAATGTTAGAGAAGCAAAACCAAACTTCACAGCACTGGTTTTAGAATTTACCATATTTTTATTATTTTCAACTTAAAATTAAAATTGGCAGTAATGTCTCACCTATATATTTTATATTGAAAATAGACTATATGCTATTGTGAGAAGCTGAAATCTCCTAATTACTAGAAACAACAAGAGACTGTAAATACAGATTTCTTACCTGAAATTATTCATCTTTTCTAACTTTAAATTTTGTCCTTTTGCACACTTTCATACTTCATATTTTGGAATTAAATATATTTGCAAACAAGTCTACAGTTATAATCTCAAGTAAAGTTTAGAGTTACAATTCAATGGCCATTGTTTTCTTATTAGCTAGAAGTACTGATTGGGACGCATGTACACAGCCACAGGTGCCACTGTGTCCCATGATCATGTTTACTCTTACTCTAAAGTTCTCCTAATAGGACACATGGTAAGACAGCTTTTTATTTGTATTGCATTAATTTTATCTAATTTTTCCACTGACTTATATAAGATGGGAAATTTCTCCCAAATTTCTCCCGAAGTAACATTGCTTGTCTCAATTTTGAATCTCTGAGTCAAGTTCAAAATGTCTCCCAACTTCATGAGGATCCTGCATTCTTTTCATTTTCCTGTTATCTCTTAGGGCCACAACTCTGCCACATATTCAGATGACATCAGTTCAAATTCTAAGTCTATTTTTTGTCTTGGTCTAAATGTTTGCACTTTCATGTGATTTACAGTCAAGATACTTTGTTTAGCTCAAGTTAGCTTTTAATTTATTAGAACAGAATAACCCATGTTAAATATTTTAATTCAAAGCTAATTTACCCATTTATAATCAACTCATTAAGAGTATGAAAATAACCTGGGGGTATGATGGCACGTAACCATGAAGACTAACCTTAGTTAAATTACCCAGAAACACATAAAAATGTCAGGTGCATTGACACATGCTTGAAATTTCAGACCTCTGAAGGTGGGGCTCTCTAGCCACTCACTTTTGCCAATGGGCCAGTTCAAGGTTAAGGGAGATACCGTTTGTAAACAAATGATAGATAGGTAGATAGATAGATAGATAGATAGATAGTAACTAAACAACTGATATCAACTCCTGACCTCTGCATGTGCATGCCCACCCCCTACACACACAGGAACACACATGTATAATACACACACATACCCTATCCCCCAACACACAATGAAGGAAAGACATTTGTTGACTACTGTGAATTATTTTTTTGTAGAGTGTGTATGTTCTCAGTAGTGCTGGCCAATCACTGGCCAGTACTATGCAGCTCTTTTTGGAACTGATTCGGGGGCTACTCATGTATATCCAAATCATGACACTGTGAATCGGAAGATGATATCACCTCCAGTCTTCTAGTTTTATGAATGTGTTAACTGGCAGTCAGATGACGAATGACAGGCCCCCAGTTATTGATGATCTCTGTAGCCCAATTAAGGATAAACACAAGATCATTGTGTTTCATATCAGTGTTATGTGTACCATGCTGTGCTAGTATATTTAGTTGATTATAGTAAAGTATTTTTAAAACTGAAGGCACAGTAAATGATAATATATAATATGTACATGTATTTTTATCCTACAACTGTGATTAACAACTTTTCAAGAGATGCAGTTGGTGGAAAATTCCATCCTTTTGTCAACTTATTGTATGGTTTTACATTTAAATAAAGTGTAGTCAATATTTCAGAAATCCATATTTTATTACTCTTTAATGGAAGAACAAATTTTGTTAAGTCCATTATCAGTTAAACAAAATTTCTTTTCAATATTCTTTTAAGTACTTGGATAAAATAGTTTTATATTACATTCATTAGCTTAAAGTTCTATGCCAACTTATGGGCAATAACTTTTGAATATAAGAATTATTCATATTTGTGTCTTCACACTTCAACAGAAAGTTGACTGTCTTTGCAGAGGTCATTTATTAAGGGCAGGTAATGCCCATCTTGCTTGACCTCTCTATACAGGTATTAAGATTGGACTGCAAATCCACTTTGTGACTAATATTATCATTTATGAAATCAAAGGTCATGAAAATTTTGGTCTACATATTCAACTAACAGTAACTTACTATATCTGAGTAATCCCCACTAATTTCCTTTCTCACAAATCAAAATTGTTTCTGAATTTTATTAAAATATAATGTATAGAATCCTGTGTAGCACTTCAAAATTATTTTATTATAGTTATGTTTAGTTCACACTAACTGAAGCAGTATATTTTCATATTATTTTTATCTTTAATGAAGATTCTGAAGCTATTAAATGTGATAATTTCATGTAACTGGCTACCCTATAGCACAATATGACCTTTGAAAGTTGCAATATACTTGGCATTGGTAATTTTGGCAAAGAAATTTGAATAAATATGGTTCTATTTATTTGGGAAATATATGAATGGAATGGCTCTTTGTTTCTGTGAAAAGGACTTTGATAAATCAATTGATTTTGATGCGCTCAAATTTCATGGACCAAATTGTAATGTCCCTAAGTTATAATTGGATATGACATTTTTCTTTTAGCATATTCCTTCCCTGAAATGATGTCTGTGTTGCATTAATTTTAAGTGAATTGATCTAAATTTGCTTTGGTTTAGTTGCAATAGTCCAAGGACCCTGAATTGAAAGAACTCCTGGAAACAGGTGTATTGGGGTTCTTTTTGCTTTCTTTTTGTTTATTATAATGAATTTAGCAAAACTGAAGGTCTATTTAACTTCCATAGGTCTGGGATGAAAATCTTGCAAAATCTGCTGAGGCATGGGCAGCCACTTGCATTTGGGACCATGGACCATCTTACTTGCTGAGATTTTTGGGTCAAAATCTATCTGTACGAACTGGAAGGTAGGAAGTAGTTATCCACATAATTGTACCTCATTATATATAGATCCTACAGGTATCGAGTTTAAGTAGTATCAGAAATTTTCTACTGATTTCTGTGAGTCAGGAAATGGTGTTTGGCTTATGAATAATTTGATTTAAAAATCTGTACAACTAGTTCATAAGGCCTAGTAAGTCCAGCTTTCACTCTTACCTTTGGAACATGCTACCTTCATTTGTGTCCGTCATTGACCCCCACTGAATCCTAGAAAGCATTGTGCATGAAAGCCTGTCCCCAACCCCATACACCCCAAAACTCCATGATTTTGCAGAAGCCGTCTACATTTGTTTGTTTACATTCCCATTGTTCTCTATAATTTACACGCAAACAATGAAATTAGTACATCGGCAAATTGGTAAGATAGAAAATCTGCGTTAACACAAGTGTGCACATAGGCATGTGTGTATGTGTTCACTATGAGAAAGTTCTTACTGATAGGATATTTCATTCTACTTTAGAAGATCATGACCTGCATTCTATAACTCTATTCTTATGGGCACTTCCATTAGAGTTAAAGTATTTTAACTATTTCCATGTAGCTAATAAATCTAAATTATTTAAAAATTCCAACATAGTAAATTTTCTGCATAAACTAAGTAAGGCTTGGATGATTCCCGAATAATTTGTGTTTTTCTGTTTTTGGAATGGCCTGGCATGTACTTAGATGAATGAAGGCTCATTGGGTGTTTTTATGCTTTTCTCTTTCCAGAGAAATCAAGAACTCTATCAGATAGTGATTGCAATTGTTAGGCATGAAAATGAGCTTGTTAAGATGAATAATCTTATAATACGTTTATGGTGTAAGACAAGTCGACTGAATAGCTCCCCACTGTACTGAGTTCTCTTTTGCTCTTTCTCTTAACATCTAGATATCGTTCAATTCTCCAGTTGGTCAAGCCATGGTATGACGAAGTGAAAGATTATGCCTTTCCTTACCCACAGGATTGCAACCCTCGGTGTCCTATGCGATGCTTTGGTCCTATGTGCACTCATTATACACAGGTCATTTCAACTGCAGTGTTAGTTTTTGATTATCTTTTAAAATGCTTTCCTTACCTTGGTGATATTTTTAAGCAATATTGGAAGATACTGATTTATTTTTGCAGATGGTTTGGGCCACTTCTAATCGAATAGGATGTGCAATTAACACTTGCCAAAACATGAATGTCTGGGGATCTGTATGGCGACGTGCAGTGTACTTGGTGTGCAACTATGCTCCAAAGTAAGTACCAAGTTGAGCTCCATTTCCTGGATACTTGACTGAAGTTAGAGACTAGCATCCAGATGAGCATTTTTCAATACTTAAAGAAGTAAAAGTATTCTACAATACTTTTTCACCTGTTCTTCATCCCCGGCCTCATCATCATCTCCACAGATCTGGAAAATGGCAGGGTAAAAGTTTTCTTTTCACAGGAACAAGGATTATGTGTTAAAATTTTAAGGAATACACACTGAGATGCCTGAACTCACTAAGTTCTTGCCATCACTGCTCTGTCACCATTAGTGTGAGCATTGTATTTCATAATCATTGACACCTGTATCAAAGGCATCAGAAAAGCATCCTCTAACATTGATACCTGTATCAAAGGCATCAGAAAAGCATCCTTTAGAGATGCTATCAGGACAATATCTGAAATATCAGTCCTAGAATGTTGGCTTACCTATTTCACTAGGGAAGCAAAATATTGGAAAAGAATCCCTTTTTTTCCTTCTCTCATTTTTTTAGACTAAAATTTATTCAGTGTCATCATCCTGTACCCTACATAAATATAATACCAATTTGTCAAAGATTACAAAATCGTTGTATGTTTGAATACTCCTTACAAAAATCAATAAACATTTGTTAACATTTAATAAAATACCTTCTTGATAACTGTAACTCTGAGAATGACAAAGAGTTCCAGAGTTCTCTTCCCATTTGGAATAAGTACCAAATGTGCATGGGTTTTATGACACTCATGGTACTTTTCCAGCCCATAAAGGGAGGGGTACAATGTGTCATGAGTAATGACTCATCGATATAGTGGTGGGCCTGGGCCAATCGTGCTAAAAAGTTAGAAATTTTGAGATTTTCCTTCAGAATTATTATAATGAGGAGTATAAAAATATGTCTTAAAAGATATTTAAATCCTGCATTTGTTTGATAGTTTTACTTTTATGCCTTGCATCCTTCTATTAAGCTCTTTATCATTTCTCCTTGTTATAAATTGACCAGGTTGAAATGAGATGACCAAAGACAGATTTAAAAAATTCATTTAATTCTTCTGTTTCAGTTAAATAATAGAATTTCCTAATAATATTGATTGATTGACAGGCCCCAAAGATAAGGCATTGCACTAATATTAATGAATTAGCAATAGCATTAATATATGATAGTCTTAAAATGTTAATATATTATAGTATTAACTCATTGGTGATTAAGACTTTTAAAATCTGTACTGGGAGGTGAATATTATTTTTCCAATTTCAGTACGAAGTTTTCTGTAGACTAATGCTTGCAGTAGAAAAAGAAAAATGGAAGAAAAATGAAGAGAGAAAGATAATATATAAATAAATGGAGTTGAACACTAAATGAAAGAATGAATGATATATAAATTGAAAGACTTACTGTTACCCTCTATTCAATAAGAATGGTTTTTGTAAAATTTGTATAGAAATTTATTATTCATTTGGTATTCTCCAACAAACTACTTGATGTTTTTTGTTTAATTTACTTTATCATGTATAATTTGTTCCAGTGCTGCATTATATACATGTATATAATGTGTTTTGATCATAGCTTTCCCAGTGTCTGTTCTTGTACCTTATCCTATTCTGATGACCCACCTCCTTTTTCACAACCTTCTCTTTTCTACTTCTACATCTTTTCTGTTAATGATGACTTAATGAGTTCAATTAGTGTTACTTACAGGATCATGGAGTCTTAGGAACCCTTCCCCGGCTATGACAGAATGTTAGTGGACACAGCCTTGTGCAGATCTTTTGCAAATCACCATGGTTGTTGCGAGTTAAAATCTCGGTATTTTTAAACAGTGCTAGGAGGAAGCTAGCACAAGTTGAGGAGCACTGTGCCTCTTGGGACTGTGAGCAGAAGACAAATGTGGTGGGCGGATTGAGCCTGGTGCTCATAGTTTATAATATCAACAGAAATTGTAAATAGGACTTCATTACTTACTGGCAAGTTAAAATTCTGTTCACTTATTCAGAGAGAAAGCATTTAAAAGCAAGCAATATGGGACAAGCTGCTTTGGAAATTTTTAAAAATGTAATTTTCAGGGTCCTATAATATAAAAAGATCATCATGTGTCAAGAGGGTATGAGCACGTGTGTAAAAATAATCTGGTTTTGGGTAACTAAGCAGCCCTAATGTCATCATTTCCTTTTTCCTCCTAGGGGTAACTGGATTGGCGAAGCACCATACAAAGTAGGAGTGCCGTGTTCATCATGCCCTCCGAGTTATGGGGGAGCCTGCACTGACAATCTGTGCTTTCCAGGAGTGACGTCAAACTATCTGTACTGGTTTAAATAAGCTTATCCTTTTTTCCCCTCTGGGAGATACATTGTTTTTTGGACTCAGAAGCATATATGTATATTGAAGTTTGAACATATTATACATATTTTATTATAATCCTGTTCTCATTATAATGGTCAGTTGTTTAGTGTTAGTCTAGGGTGTTCAGTCTTAGATATAAACAAAGCATCATTTTCCAATTTTCTGACCTTAAATTTAAATTAAAATATTGTATATGTCATGATGCCATAGTTGCTGCATCCAATTCCAAAATCTTCATTCCAGGGAAACTGTGTTATTATGTCCCTAAAGAATGAAATGTCTGTTCAAGCTGTAATATATGTGTATTCATAGATATACACATGTACATATATATGCACACATTTATAATGTGTGATTGGACATGTAAGAAAAAATATTATGTGATAGCTAATAAGGAAAAGTGAAAAATATATTTGGGCTTATGGAACAGTTTCAGGACCATTTCCACAATACTCATGAAAGCATAGTTTGCACATTCATGATATTTGGAAATAATTTTGTTAAGCAATTGTTGAATTCATCCTGAAGATACTTTATTTGGGTCTACAAAGTGTATGCTGAATTAATGGAAGTTCCCATAACACATCTTTTGCTTAGTTTCATTTTTTTCATTGAGTATCTCTGCTAAGTGTTTACTCAACAATTACTTTGACTAATTTACTTTTCTGGTTATGTTCTGATGATGCAATGATTATTACGTGTGATTCTGCCTTTGAGAAGCTATCAGATATGTCCCCAAAACAGGATAGCCTAGTAACATTGTTATAAATTATTTTTAACTAATCATTTTTCATGTGTTTTGAGGAACAAACATATAACCACTTAAAGGTGTAATAGATGATAAGTGGTGCCGTCTTACATGTAAAGTGTCTGTTTTCTATAAAACTCTAATATTTAAATGAAATATAGAAGGTGTCTTAGTTATAGTGCTGTGAATAGACACCATGACCAAGGAAGCTAATAAAAAGAGGGCATCTAGCTAGGGGCTTGCTTACAGTTTCAGGGGGTTAGTCCATTGGAATACGGAGACAGGCAGACAGGAGACATGGCACGGGAGCAGTAGCTGAGAGTCTATACTATGATCTGCAGGCAGGAGGCAGTGAAAGTGAGACTGGGCCAGACCTGGGTTTCTGAAACATCACAGTCAACTCACAGTGATACACTTCCTCCAACAAGGTCACACCTTCTCCAACATGGCCACACCTCCTGATCCTTCCTGAACAATTCACTGTGCAAGACCCTATACTCAAATATGTGAGCCAAAAGAACCATTGTCATTTAAACCACCAAACAATATAAGAATCAACAACTGCTCAGAGATTTCTGGAGCAGAATAGGTTAGGCTGAACACGAGATCCTCAGAATACTGATGAAGCTAAAGAAAAGTAAGAGCTATGAATAATTAGGATTAGCATGTCGGTACAAAAAGACCAGCCAGAAGACTACAGAAGATTTAACACATCTTTGGACCCATTAACAAAAGTTTCAGGATTTTATAAAGAAATGTGTAGGGTTGAGAGTACATTCATCTCAGTTTTCCCTGCCATTATTTGGAAAAGGTCAATCTACCTACTATCTTGAGCTTTTGAATACCATATTCAGATTGAAACAAAAATACCACATGCAGTCAATTTTGTTAATAGAGCCCTCAATGGAAGTTTTCCAAGAACTAATTATGAAACTTTATTTTTTGTAGAAGAGTAATTTTCATTTCCTCATTAAATTTGTTTATGAGAATCAAGTAAATCATTACAAAGATTTCTCTTCTGAGATTAGGAAATAACCTGTCTTAATTTACAATTTTTTCCAAGGAGGACAATACACTATCTGAGCCAAGACATGGAACAAATTTTATTTCAAGTGTGTGTGTGTGTGTGTGTGTGTGTGTGTGTGTGTGTGTGTGTGCGCGCGCACGCGCGCACATGTGCGCTTGAGTATAGACTTACAGAGCAAGTAAATATAGTCACTTCAGACAGAAAACAACAGGGAGATCCTTATTTAAATTCCATGAACAGCTGCAGCTTCTTAGGTGAATGCATTGAAAGATGACAGATAGTTAATTAGATCCATTCATTGGGAGAAGAATCCATCTGGATACTGGGGCTACTTGATGACAAACAAATGGTCCAGTTACTTTTAAACACTGACAATTGGAACCAAATGTTTTATTACTAAGTGGCCCTGCCTTGTGGAAACATATATGGGCCTTATTTAAATAAGTATATCAGGAATACAATAGAGAACAGAAGTATTATATAATATGGAGTTGATCCGATTTTCTTTTTTTTTAATTTCATTTCATTTCCCTTGAGACAGTCTCACATATCCCAGATTGACCTTAAACTTACTGTGTTGTCAAGAATGACCCAACTGACTCCTGATCCCCTTGCCTCTAACTCTGAACATTGAGTTTGTAGGTGTGTGCTACCTGGTCATTGGAAGGAACTCCATTTGGTGATTGATACCTGCTTGCCTCACTTAAGAGTGTTTTTATCCTTAATGTTACTGAAGTAAAAACTATATAAACAGAAGTTTACAACTCTCATTTCCAGGTTTCTTTCTAGCTTGCATGGGTAACTGGGTTTCTCAGATAGAAGGAATGATAATATTTGATATGTAGTTCACAGATTTGCCTATAAAGATTAGTTCATCATATTAACAGAAATTCATGAATATTAAAATGATCACTATCAGACCTTCTCCTTGGCATGAACTCCATGTAATTCATTGCATTTATCATAGCATGTTACACAGTGGCTATAGTATAGTAAATGTTTAGCTCAGTGGAGTATTTAGAATTAGTTTAAAAGTTTAAACTTGTGAAAGTTGAAATGAATATCCTGCCTTTCCATGCTTTTAAAGACCCAAAATTTTCTAACACATAAAGGTTTGCATGTAGCAAACCCTCAAACAAACCATCAATGGTATGAAATTGAAATTAGGGTCTGCAGGCTTACAAAATTACCCTTTCAAAACCACAACAGGACCAGTAGCTTTTTGATAACATAACAACTGAGCTGAAAACACAATGAGTATATTTGTTATTCCGTCTGTAACTTTTAATGCTGGTATATAAAATGGCTATGTGAAATATTTTCTTTCCTGGACTAATGCAAATGATAGTTTGCTTGCATCAATGTACCGTCTTCCGTTTTCACAGGGGTGCTAGGTTAAAGGACTTTCACTGTAATTCTCAGAGGTGGAACAGGTCTGGTTATTCCATACAGACAGCTTTAAATAGTCAGGATTAAAGGTTTAATTTGGAAAGTTCTCATTAAAAAATAATATGAGTGACAGCATAGATGTCCCCCAATGTTGTTTATTTAGTAGAAAACTAACATTTTGCTACAATATACTTTTTTGCCTTCATGTGGGAAAAACAAACTCGATTTCTTCTACAAAATTCTTACAATGATAGATAAGCTTGCTGTGATAACATAGAAAATGAGTTATTAATACTAATACTTTTGGTGTCACCATGGCTCGGCCCTTCAAAGCTTCCCCACAATTTTGGTCTGTTTCTACTGTCACCTGAACTTGAGATGTTCATAAAAATTTCATTTCTAATTTCTACACATCCCTAGTACAGAGCAGACCAAGAGGAAAGGCGAGTCCAACCAATAAAGTCTACTCTGAATATTTTAATGAAACAATATATTTCCCATATTTTTGCAGTAAATAAACTCATGGAGTTTATACTAGTAAATACAGTGTGTATTTATACCACTTTAAGTGTTTTAGGATTATTCATTGTTTGTTGAATAATGCAAAAATAAATAGATGAGCAGTATATTTTCCTGAAGGAAAGCAATGCTGAAACTCTGGGCTGTCTTTTCCTTTAGGTTTCACAGTATCACAGGATGCAAATCTTCACATAGATGGAAGGCTTTACCTATTTAAGTATTTAGGGGGAATAAATTTATATTTCTAGTAATAGCTAACATTGTCTTTATTTTTATGAAGGTTTTGCATTGTTATATGTGTGGGTGAAGACACTTAAATGAAAATGCCTTTTTAAAATTGTGTCGTGGCTCAACTTAGAATTGTAAAATGTTGGCTAAAATTGAGAAAGTTTAACAATTCACTAGTTAATGGTGCTGAAACATTACAATCACCTATGGTTACACTTTTGAGGTTTCTTTAAAACTACAGTTGTTATTATTAAGTGTGAACTACCAATATTTATCTATTTTGGTGCTAAATATGTGGTGCTAAATGAGTCATTAGTATCAACAGTTTTAAAACTACTCCTTTTGTTTACTTGATTCAGAAGTAATAGCAAAAATTTTATTTTATCTTCACCAATGTATGACAGTTGAATCTGTTTTCTCTTTATTTAACAAAACAATGTTATTACATGTAAATATATTTCTTTAGAAGTGATTGGTTTCTTCAAGTGGGTATTCTTCTTTCTCTCTCTCCCTCCCTCTCTCCCTCCCTCCCTCCCTCCCTCCCTCCCTCTCTCCCTCCCTCCCTCCCTCCCCCTCTCTCTGTCTCTGTCTCTGTCTCTGTCTCTGTCTCTGTCTCTGTCTCTGTCTCTGTCTCTCTCTCTCTCTCTCTCTCTCTCTCTCTCTCTCTCTCTCTCTCTCTCTCTCTCTCTCTGTGTATGTGTGTCCTGAAAAATTAAGATTACCCACGTGTTAACCATGCTGCAGGCCCTAGCGCCCTCTGGTGTTTCTACAAACAAATTTGTCCTGACTCAGAAACCTTTGGTAAAAGACGTTTATGTGCTTAGTAAAAATTTACCTTGCCCTGTCCTGGAGTTTTTTTTCTCTCTGAATCTTCCAGTATTAAAACCACACTACAGTAAGCTCAACTCTATTGGCACTCCTTCCTAAGAGGTGCAGAGCCTGGTACATCCTTCACTCACGTGTTTTAAAATCATCGTCTACTCTAAGGTGCTTAATTTTGGTTTTGTTTGTTTTTAGAAAATGATTTATTGTTGTGTTTCATCTTAGGATTGCTTTTTTATTTAGCTTAGGGCATACCATAAAAGGAAGCCATCTAAAATTATATATATATATATATATATACATATATATATGTATGGAGTGGTCCACTTCCATTCTGATCTATGATTTGATGTGTTATGCTTTCATGTTATAAGAAGCAATAACATTTTATTATCCTACTAAAGGTGATAATTACAATGCCCGTGTCTTGGTAGCTTTCATAAGCTATCCAAAAGTATCAAGCTTACTTCTCTGCCCTAGAATTCCATTAAACAAATTAACACTCAGTCAAGTTAGCCAGCCAGTTTACTCTAAAACAATCAGCAAATGAAAGACCAAAATTTGAAAACCTGAAGTATTTCTGGAGTTCTTTTAGATAACCATTTTCATTCTGAATGTTCTGGCAACCTAGTAGTTCTAAAGGGAATCAAACATTGGGCTCACTGTGCCCCTGGCTAATTATTACAGCATTCATGATTTGTTAATGTTTAAGGTGGACTTTGGAAACATAATACGAATTAAAGGTGGTGCATATATGAAGAGTATGTTTTTAAAAAATGTTAATCTTCCAAGTATTTATGTAGTCCTAAAATTTAATGTATCACTTCAGAAGTTTTAAGCATAGGTTTGGATGGGCATAATTCATTATGTAGTGCTGTGTTGGTAAAAAGGTGACCCTTTATGTTGTGAAATATTTTATGAATGGAACTATATATATTAACCTCTGTCCCTAGGGAACATAGCAAATGTAGCATTTTTTAAATCCCTACTGTATTACTTTTTCCAATAAAATATTATTACTCATTATTTTAATTTTGAAGTCTGTTTGATTGCTTTTGTTGCAATAGTGTTAGTACAAGATGATATAATTTTGAGAAGAAATTACCCACTTTTCTATAGCAACAATGAACATAACATAAACACATCACTGAAATACATGAATTCTTTTCTTAGTTTTCTGTTCTTTTTTCCTCCTGCTCAATTTTCCCCCCTTCTTTTCCCATGAAAATTCAGAAAAATAAAATATACCTTGACAAAACTTTTCTAGAACTATGTATCAAGATTTTCTGTGTGTGGAAAATTACAGCAGATGACCACATATCTTTATATGTATTCTTACAAAAGTTACAAAGCATGTTATGGGGCTATACTGGGGACAGGAACCTTCTAGGTAGTCTCTGGCTTTTAGTTCTCAGGGTATCACTGTTCTGAGGAGCTGGTGGATATCATAGGCAAATTCCATCAAGACATAAAAGAAGCCAGAGGTTAGTTAAACTGGCTGTTGGTATTTTACTATATGAAAAAGTCTCACTAATTTAAGTCATTTTAGACAGGATCTCCCATTCAGCCCCCTAGTTCTTTCTTAACTCCTTCTTGGTAGGCATCCTTTGTCTCATCTCTGACAGTGATTTCAAACTCTAGTCTCCACCCCATACCTCTGGGAAGTTCTCTCCACCAGGAATGGCTACAGGGGTATGTTAACTGATTTCTTTATTGGTTGATTGATGTGTGTTTGTGTGTGTGTGTTTGAAAATTCAAACCCCACAGCCTAACCTGACTAATGCCAATAGAAGCTGTTGCTTCTAGTTTTGAAGATAGAAAAAAGTTTCTGAAGATGAAGGCATTGGAGGGTGATGGAATGATGATTGCTTTCAGTTGTCTCTACCCGGTAAGAGCTTTGGCAAATGCTCTCATGAAAAATGAACACATCTATACAAGCCACAATCCACATTACTGGATACAACAGAAAATGGCTTTTCTGAATGGAGTCTTTTTCTGCTGCCACCTCATTCTAATCAAGCACCTTTTGAGACAGTAGCCATGGCATGGTGCTTCCAGGGAATACCGATTCCATCCTGAGTGTGGCTTAGCCTGGTTCAGGCTTAGCAAACTGATAGGTGACAGGCATCTGACCTCAACCTCTTTGGCTCCATTTTTCCCTCATAAAAGGAGAGTTCTGGAGTGTTTCTTCCCGGAAGTATTCATTTGAGGGAATATGGTGCTTAGAGTGACAGTAGACCCCATACACTCATATATTGAAATGCTTGGTTCCCAGAGTGCGAAATTGTTGCCTTGGTCATAGTGTTTTGTCAAGGCAAAAGAATGGTAACTGAGACAAGGAACATAATGTCCTTTAGAGGACAAGAGTTTTTGTAATGCTGAATTCAGAGAGGAACTTGATTCATGAATTGGTGCATAATATATAGGACAATGTATTTAATTTGTACATCCAAAACATTTTCCTAGAAGTAAAATGTAAATGATAGTGATATATCCATACTTGACTCTAAAACTTAAAACACAGGGAATAATTCTATACACCCTAGAATTTGTCTGTATTTTTAAAATTACTAATATATTTGCCATTTGGTTTTAGCAGTCTCTCTTCTACATTTTCCCCTAGAGATAGACTGGCAAAACATGAAATGACATGTATAAAAGTTAATTGCTAGAACATAATTTCCAATAGCAAAGGGCCAGACAAAACTTCAAACTCTATCACAAAGTAACTGGTTACATACTACATTCATGTGATGGAATACTATTGTCTGGATCTGTTAAAGTTATTATAGCAAAGGGACACAGACTAGATGGTATGTAATCTAAAGAAATGCTCCCACAGTGATGAAACTCGTGTATCAGAATGCCAGCATGGCCAGTTGCTGGTAGCGGCTATGGTCAGCACTCATGAACTCACAAGAGCTGTGATTGCATGCACAAGACATGCGATAGTGAAGCCAGTCAGCACTCTAGCATAGAGTGGAAAGGGGATCATTAGATCTCACCCTTAGTTTAGGAGCCATAGGCAGTTGTTGGCAGTCACTGGAAGAGGGAGAGTTGTTTTCTCCAACTGTGCAGCACAAGGTAGGCTGCCTGTGCTTAGTGAATGGTACCATGTAAACATGCCAATAAAGGAAGCACTATTTAGGCCCAGTGGATTATAAAATAAAGGATAAGAATACTTGGAGTTAAGAGGGGAGCTTAAAAGGAGGTGTGGAATGAGCAGAGGCCTGAAAGCAGAAGGTAGGTATAATCTAAATACATTTAATGGAATTACAAAAAATAAAATAAAGGAAGTTAAATCATTTGCTATAGGATGATTGATTGACAGTGGCTGGCCTTATTTGCTCCCTAAGTGGAAGGACCACCCCATGAATTGTACGTGGGGCATCTGAGACCAGGAAGTTGTCCAAGACAGGTGCCTCCTGTACTCTCATTTGTCACGTTACTTTCAGGTTTCACCACATAACCGCATTTAGTAAGCCAAAGATCAGTATTTACCATGGTTTATGAATGAAATTTGGGAGCCCATTCCAAATAGAGGGGTGCTCTCTCAGCCTGGGGTGCTCTCTCAGCCTGGACACATGGGGAAGGGCCTAGGTCCTGCCCTGGATGAAATCACAGACTTTAGAGATTTCCCCCCAAGGAGGGCCTCACCCTCCCTGGGGAATGATGTGGGGATTGGGTGGGGGACTGGGGGGCTAGTGGAGGGAAAAGGGAGGAGTGGTGGGAGAGGGAGCTGGGACTGACATGTGAGACATTCATGTTTCTAATTTAAATTAAAACATATATTGAGAAAAAAGAAAATTGTTAATTGAATGTTTACTTAATATTGACAAGTAAGATCAGAAAATTCCTATAGAACTAAGATGAAAAACAATTTACTGGAAATACGTAGTAGACAAAAATTACCTTTCCTGTGACAGCAAGCATACTGTCATACTATCAGGTTGAAAAAATGATAATCTAATCAGTTGGGAAGAAGTGAACAAAAAATTAAAACTTTATTTCAACTGTAGAAAGCAGTTCTCTGATGAGGATTTAGGTGATGTGCTAATCTATCTTCAGGAAGGTAAGTGTCTATTTAGCTGAACAACAGTATTAGGTTCTCTCATGGAACCTGAATCACATCTATTGGTTCTTGGCCTGGTTAATGGTATCAGACACAACTTCCATCTGTGGAGTGAGTGAGGAGCTACTGGA